GACTGACTTTATTCTAGGATCATGTTTATGAGGGAGTTTCGCGTCATTGATGCTGCTGACACAGAGGAGCAGTTGCGGCTTAGGCTGAAGGCCAATGAGCTCGAGCAGTATGGTGACGCTTTCATCCCGGAGTTTGTTTACCATGTGATCCGGCAGCTGCCGCGATTCCGTGACATGAGAGTGAGTGGTTTCCTCCAGAAAAAGAGAAGCGTCATATACTAACTCCGCTCGGTTAAAGCGTGGCCACCAGCAAGATGCACAAGAATTCTTAGGTTTCCTTCTGGAGGAGATGCACGAGGAGTGCAGCCGTGCTGCGAAGGAAGCACCATCTACCACCACGACTTCGAACACCGATGCGGGCAATGCAACTGAAGAATCTGATGGTTGGTTGGAGGTCGGCCACAAGCAAAAGGCAGCAGTCACACGCTCGTCTGGCGACATTTCCCAGGAATCCCCGGTCACGAGAATCTTTGGAGGAAAGATCCGATCCGAGTTCAAGGTTCCCGGCAACAAGACTTCTGTTACTTTGGAGCCCTACCAGCCGCTGCAGCTTGACATCGGGTCCCCCGAGATCAACAACATTATTGACGCTCTCAAGGGCTTGACGAAGCCGGAGAGCATCCAGGGAGATTTCAATTCTGCACGTGGCCCCAACGTCACTGCCACCAAGCAGGTTTTCATCGAAACCCTGCCCCCAGTCCTTATTCTCCATCTCAAGCGATTCCAGTACGACAGCGTCACCAACGGTACCCAGAAGATCTGGAAGCGGATTGGATACCCCCTTGATCTGGAGATCCCACGCGAGGTGTTTCCACCTAACAAGCGCAACGTCATGATGGCACAGGGCGGACTGCCCAAGTACCGACTTGTCGGTGTCATTTATCACCACGGCAAGAATGCCAGTGGCGGCCACTACACTGTTGATGTCCGCCGGCAAGATGGCCGTGAGTGGATTCGGTTGGATGATACTGTGATCCGTCGCGTGCGCAGCGAGGATGTTGCAGAAGCCGGTGGCGAGGAAGATCCTAAGGTCCTGGCTGCCGCGATGGAACAGCATAAGCGGGACAGCTCCAACGCTAATATTTTCGATCACATCGACCAGGATGACCAATCTGACAATGAGAGAGGATGGAGCCAGGTCAATGGCACGCCAGGCAAGAAGTCCGGCACCAACGGAGCATCAGCGCCACCTAGCGCCACCCGGTCATCTGCCGGACGTTATAATGCTCGTGACAACAAGGTGGCATACCTGCTCTTCTACCAACGTATTGCTTAGATCCTATAAGTGTTGTTTGGACAGATAAGAAAGAAGCAAGAACGATAGACCCAGCCAAACAACGATCAACACACCTTCCGACACTCCGGGACTAGGTATTCTCTTGTTGCCTCATACGAGGACAACCCTCAAGGACTGATATTCAGCCATCAATTCCAGGACCATGTCAAGGTTCAACTGGCAGACAGCAAACCACCAGCTGGCCACCAGCTGACCAGTAACCACGAGTCCGTGACCACACCTCCCACAACTTTCCAACAGCATAAGTCAGCGCGGGGACTGTTGGGCACGTTCCCTGCGACGACGGTTCGCGGTTCGAGACTTGTTTTGCTATTTTCTTTTCCTATGTCGCTGCTTATGGCGGGATTATCCCAATCTATTCGTATTGTACTGCGATATGCTTTCCTCTTCTTTTCTCTATCCTCTTTTTTTTACCTGTGGTTATCATGATACATTTTTCTCTCTCATTTTGTAGTTGATCCACCTCCTTCACGATCTTTTGCGTTTGCGGTGCAGTCCGGTGGGATGTCGCTCTGATATATACCCCAGTTTCCTCGCATAGCCCTTTTGTTTGCTCGCTGATGCAGATGGGTTCTTTTGATGTGGCGTGGACGGGTTTATTAACGACTGCATGAATTTCTTTTATAGACTTGTCTATCAAGAAGATCTTGATAGAGGGAAGAACGGAGGGGGTGGTGGGTGGGGGGTTCGGCCTGGCTTGGATGATGATTATGATGGGTTGCATGTGGGGGATTATCTGTTGCGATCAGACATTTAGGACTCTCTCTTTCTACTAATGTTGGGTGGTGTGGTATGGTGTATGCAAATCTGGGCGGCGGAGGTCGTTTCAAAAGAAGGATTGGAGTTACGACTTTAAAAAAGCGTTGAGAAATAAAATGCGTTTAGATAAGAGATACCATGGTTCTTGTAGCAGTAAATGGACAAATTTGACTTGGATATTTGAGGACAATGGTAGAGCGAAGTTCTCACTGTCTACTTGTCCTCGGCAATGGCCACCGCCGAATGCACACTCTGGTCTTCAGGCTGGAACACCTCCACCAGCTTTAGAAAGCTTTCCTCCTCGCTCGCCAGCGCCTGATCCGGTTGGTAACCCTTGTAGCGTTCGTGTCCAGTAACCACGCGCAGGATTTCCTCCACCTGCTCCGTCTTCAACGCCTTGCCAACTGCAGCCCCCGTGTCCAGACTCCACGGCCCACGCCACGCAGCATGAGTATCCGGCCGCACCAGGACCAAACTCGCTCCCCAGACGCGGTGCGCATGAGTCTCGTTGACCAGCCTCACCAGCTTGAGCGGCATGCCCAAGGTGGCGGAAACGGTGACAAACGTTCCCGCCGTAGCAGCAGCACAGCCATCCTCCCCTCCGCCGTGCCGTAGCGAGCCCTCCTCCTCCACGAAATGAACCAGACTCCACGCCGACCCAAACTCATCATAGATACTCCTCTGCTTCCCCAGCACCCCATCCCCGCTCACATCCCCCCCTCCACCCTCCAAGCCCCGCAAGAAAACATGAGGAACCCTACGCCCCGGCCTCGTCGAAGGAACATACCTCTCCGCCTCCCAGGCCCGCGCCTTCTCGACATCATCATCCTCATCCTCACCCCCCCAAACTCCAAACCACCCGTACCTCAAATCCAATTCCACCCCGCGATCCAGCGTCTCGGGCCCAGACCCCTCCAGAAACGCGCGGATCTTCTGCCTCAGCGCGGCGGCCTCCGGGTCGTCCCGCTCCAGAATGCCAACGGGGTCCGGGAACATCGCGGCCAGCTTGAGATGCTCGAGGAGGTGGCGGTGCGAGCGCGCCAGGGCTCGGATCATGGCCGGACGCCGGTCGAGGGTGTACGATTGCAGGAGCAAGGGCCCGCCGTAGAGGGTTGGAGATTGGGTGAGGGCGGCGAGGCGCCAGGCGAGGTCGAAGGCGTCGGCTAGGCCGCTGTTTAGACCGTATCCGCCGTGCGGGGGGGTGCGGTGGGCTGGTTTTGGTTTTGTGTTAGTTGGGTGATTATCGTAGTTTGGAGTAGGTGGTGTGAGGTGTTGGGGTTATGGAAGGTAGGCAGAAGGGGATATATCAGAAGGTGTAGTGCAGGAAAGGTAACGTGTGTAGTCCCGAGGTATAGGTGTACTTCAGCCTGGGAAGGGAAAAGGGATAGATAATCAAAACTCACCCGCATCACCCGCAAGCACGACTCGGCCACCTTCACTAAGATACGTTTCGGCGATACTGAAATTCGGGGTCCAGGCACTGTGCACCAGGATCTCGTCGATCTGGATCACCGCCTTCTGACTGGGAAGCGGGCCCCCGAGAGTCCGATACACCACGTCCTTCGGGTCGATCTCCTCACCCTCCGGGAGCAAGTGGATAGGGAAATGCGCGGTGAAGGTATCCCTATCGTCCTGGTCGAGGATGAACCCCCCGTTCGTGGGGAAGATATGCCAACAGCGGCCGAAGGGGAACGAGCGCGCCAGTTCCTGGGAGCGGAAGTGGACGAGGTAGAAGCGCATGGGCCTGGGCTTCAAGTCAATGGGGGGATCGAGGGAGGATTGAGATTGAGGGGAGGGAGAAATGTACATCGGTCCCCCGAGCATGCGGATGCCCGCAGCGTGACGCACGCGACTGCCTCCTCCATCTGTGCCGACGAGGTAGCGACTGCGCACGCGATGCTCGACACCTGTCGCAACATCGAGGAAGGTCGTCCACACCACCCCGGTCGTCGCGTCTTCGTCGTGGTGCAGGTACTTCCACCCCAGACGGAGGTGCATCGCCGTATTGCCGGTGTCCGCTTGCGCGAGGATGAGCTTCCGGATCCATGCTTCGAAGATGACTTGCGAGCAGCGCTGGCCAGGTTCGGCGGGTTGAGTGCCGTCGTTGGTCTGGCGGATGGACTCCCGCTGCGTGACGACGGAGGGGACGGGCTTGTTTGGCGCGTGAGTTAGTGGGACTGGGGCTGGATAGGGAACAGAGACAGAAGACGATGCGAAGTGAGTGTGTTGGGATTGAGCTTACCCAAGTGCCTAGGAGCTTGCTCTCTGGTCCGATGATCCGGGTCACGAACTGCGTGTCGAAGTCGGTGGAGACAGGCACGCTGTTATCCTGGGCGCGGTAGTCGTCGGCCAGACCCATAACGCGCAGGATCTCCATGGAGCGACAGTTGGTCAGATCCATCTTGGGCCATTTGGTGTTCTGGGTGTTCTGATCGGCGATGAGGAAGGGGACGTTGAATTGGTTGAGGCGGTAGGCCAGAAGCATGCCGACGGGGCCAGCGCCCACGATGGTGATCGGGGTGTCGTAGTCTTCTTCCATGGTCATGGTGTTGTGTGTGATGACATGAAAAGAAGGAAAAAGAAGGTGGGAAGCAGCAAGCAGGAAGCTGAAAATTGAGGGGTTCTGAAGAAACCGAGACACAGGTCACCGATCTGACTTGATCGGCCAAAATCATTCACTGTGATCGGCACAAGGAAAAGAACTATCACAACTGTCACCTCAATATTTTTTTATGCCAAGTACCTACAGTTTCTCCAATCACAAACCAGAAGATAAGGTATATACAGCAATTGTCCCCCTCATTCCATCTGCCTCACGTCAGCATCATGACACCTTCATGTACAAACATTCTTCTCAATACGATCTCCACTCCCACCCTACGCCCTCGTATCAATCTATGATCGACCAGCCACACAGCGCATTGTTGGCCAGTCCCCCACACCTCCAGGCTTCAGCTCCCCCTGCAGCCCCACCACCACACCTTAAGCCGCATTTTCAGCCTCATTATCATGAGTGACCAGATTCACCGGCCGAGCGGGTTCGTCCGCACCACCAACCCCGATTTGATCGCGCGGAGATGCCGTCGGAACCAGCGGGCGGCCAATCTGGAAAACTGTCTGCTGGGGTGGATCCCTGGACGTGGTACCAGCACCGCGTTTCCGGCCCCGACTGTGCGACAACTCTGAGTTGCGCGTCGCGGTACTATGGGTGAAGCTGATGTTTTCAATGGGGATAGGTTCTTGTTCTTGGGTCGCGCTGGTGCTGAGAGCCTGCGAGATAGTTCGGGGCAGATGGTAGCCCGCTTTAGCCAGCGGTATGGAGAGGCCGTGTACAACCTGCAGATTGGGTTAACAGAGCAGGTTTCCATGAGGAAGTAAGGCGTGACCGGAATAAAAAGTACGACTTACAATGCTGCAGATGACCAGGAACCACACAATGACATCGACTGCCTCGGAAAGCTTCTGCGCGTCTTCACGCACGGTGCCGTTGGCTGTAACTCCCTGCAGGAATTCCCGACACACCGACAAGTAGAAAATGGCTCCTACGCCGATGGGTCCGAAAAAGCCCACAAACCCCGCTTGGTACAGGTGCTCGATCTGGTGAATGTACTTGTGCATGGCAAACACAATCGGCATGCGACGGACGAGCAGAATCAGAATGCCCAGAAAAATCAACCGATAAATCGGAATGACACTGTTGTTGAGGAACGACGACCAGGGGCAGACGGCGCCAAACCACATGAAGACCGCCAAGTTAAGAAGCATATCGATAGTGGGCTGCAACGAGTCATCCATCGTCTCGAGTCGAAACCAGTCGCTAATCAGTCAGCACCAGCTGAATCGTCGGGAAAGTGGTCTCTTACTCTTGCGTAAACACATTACCAGCCACGAAGCAGGCAAGCAAATCATCGGTCCCAATCAATCCACAAGTACCGACAATGAACAGCTGCAACCGTAATCAGCAATGTACGCAATTCGGACCACACTCAAACCTACCGAAAGAGCGATCGCGAAAACGAGAAAACTCTCTCGATCCACGTAATGATGCTCCTCTGCCCAATGGAGCAGCTCGCGGGAGATCCAACCGACCGTGATGCCATAGACCACACTCAAGAGCACGGTATACGCCCAGGTCTCATAGAACCATAACCCTATGGCCTTCCCCGCACCACCACTGTAGGCCTCACCTCCCATCTCGACATACTTGAGCAGATACAGGCCGAAATACAGGAATGGGTACCCCAGGCCGTCATTGGCCCCAGACTCCGCGACGATGATGCGCTGCAGCGGACGGGGCACATGCTTATCGGCGAATTTCCCCTTGACGATCGAGTTGGAAAGCACCGGGTCCGTCGGGGTGATACAGGCGGCCACGACGAGGGCATGCAAGAACGGGAAATCCGGGACCATGGCCCAGATAACTAGACTGCTGCACATCCACATGGCCGCCATGCCCGGTCCCAGGAGCAGAGATAGACTCCTCCATTCCAGCTGCAGGTACCGTTTGGGGAGCTGCACCCCGGCTAGGACGAGCTGGACCCCTAGAACAAGCCGGGTGAAGTACATGGTGATTTCCCCCAGGTTCTGCTCCGACCCAAGGGCATACTCCTCGGGTCGAATGAAGTTGGCGGCATGCGGGGAGAAGATGACTCCGGCAAGCAAGGAGATTACTACGAGGTGTCAGTCTTGGGTTTGGCGCATCAAGTGTTGTCCAAGGAGCTGACGCACAGGCTTCAGATAGGTATAATCTCTCCTTGAATAAGTAGGAGACTAATCCAAAGAGGGAGATGAATCCTCCTAAGGTCGCACAGACTATGTTGAAATTGATCAACGATAGGGTAGGCATGGGTGGCAATCGGTCTCCGGATGAGAACTACCAGCTTTGAGACAATTTTGTCGCTATTTGTTCTTCTGAGCGTCTAAGTATGTAAGAGTCCACAAGCACGTGTTATTCAATCATAGCAAGAGCACTTCTAACTGCGTGGGGGTGTCCTTGGATCATTCGATTAATCGAGGATTTCGCAGCAGCCAGAATGGCGGCTGGTGGGGGGAAGCAAGCAGTGAGCGGGGTTTAAACTCGATGGCAAGAGAGGGTGACACAGAGCAAAGAGAGGGTAAGAGTGCCAAAGCAATCAGCTCAGGGAACGAGTGAGGTCCTGATGAGGTCCTGACGAGGTCCTAAATAGATATCGTGACAAGGTAATCCGGAGTGTGGAGTAAGGAAGAAGGAATAGGTTAGGTTTGAGGGCCAGTTCGGTAGTGGGAGGAAAGTCCCGGCTATTATTTTTTAAGGCTTGGCCAACTACTAACTATAGTACTCCGTACTAACTACTAAACTACCTAAAGCAAACTCCCATCCCGCTTTGAGCCTGACGTTTCTTGTGGGTAAGAAAGTAGGCCGATGTACCTACCTAGGTATGCACTGACCCATCCACATCCATGATGTGTTCAGAAATCAACATTTGGGCAGCTAAGCATCCAGTGTAGTCCATTGGTATCTCTCCCTCCAGGGGTATTCTGTCGGTGTAGAAAGCTAAATACACATTGAAGGTATAACGGAGTTACTCGAATGTAACGCAGATCAAGTATCACAACATCACAACAGCACAACAGCAGACCAGCTCGGAGCATAGTTCAATGCATCATTCCATCCAGGATTTAGCTGAGTAGATCCTCCATTAGAAATCGTCGTCATCGTCATTATCATCATCAAACAGATCATCCGGGATCTCTTTGGCTGCTGCTGCCATGGCCGCAGCCTTCTCGGCCACTCCACGTTGGGCGCCATTCACAGCCAGGCGGTCGGCAGCTTCGTTGCCCGGGTGCGAGCTGTGGCCTTTCACCCATTCGAATAAGGTCTGGACTTTCAGCTCGTTGCGCTCGTCAATTTTGGACAAAATCGACTCGACCAGATCTTTGTTGTCCACCGGTTTGTTACCCACTGTCATCCAATTATTCTGTCGCCATTTGCGATACCAGACTGTCACGCACTTGATGGAATACTGGCTATCTGTGAAGATGGTCACGTCCCGATGGCGAGGAGCAATTTCAAGAGCTCGAAGGATTGCAGTCAATTCCGCTCGTTGGTTTGTTTGACGGCTACCCTGTAGAGGCTCGGACACATTTCTGCTGAGTGATGAAGAGTTAGTGGAACATTGCGATCTTAGCGTGTTGCGGCCGGGAGCTCGAAAGGACACAGATGATATCTTGGTGGGTCACTAACCTTGAATCTCCTGGGCCGAAATATACGCCCACACCCGCTGAAGCCAGCGCTCTCCCGTTCTTGAGGGAACTACCGTCGGTGTAGATGCGCAACATCCCCGGGGGGCCATTCGACTTCAGCTTTGTGGCAGCCTTCTGATCCGCAGATTTGTAGATCACTTTCCCAGTGGTGGGATCCAGAAGCACATTCGGATCAAACCCGTCCGTGGTTCCAGAAGGTAAAGGTCCGGTTCCTGGCTCAAAAGCCACGCCATGCGCATCCGTCGGGACTGCGTCTGTCAGACCTGGCGCTCCCGATAACTTAGCGGCCTTCGCGAAAGTGGCGCTGTTTCCTTGGTCTTCGTTCACGAATGCCTCGGCTTCCTCTCTGGTCGCAAATTTCTTGTATCGCGGCTTGGTGAACCCTTTGATCTGTTCCTGCGCCTTTGACCAGTCGGTGTAGACCCCGGGCACTCTCCCGCGCTGGACGCCGTAATATCTGGGGGGATCGGAGCTTGAGTTGTTTCCGCCGCGACCGGCGCCAACGGTGGCCCCCGTGAGGAAGGCTTTCGCATCATCGAAAGAAGAAAATGCCTGGACTGGTATGGTTGTCAGTCAGCGACCGCGCGACTAGGGTCGTTCACGACTTACAAACGGCTCCCTTGTACCCAGTTACCTGGGTCAGGCAATCGGTCCAGCTGTAGTAAACCCCCGGCTGATAGCCCGCTTTGACGGCATAGTATTTCCCTACTACATTGCGCTTGCGTTTGGTACCTGCGGTGGATGCGGAAGAATTTGTTCGGGAAGAGGTGTTTGTAGCAAGCACGGAGGTAGGGGAAGAAGTGGAATTGTTCATGGCGTCCAGGCCGCCGTTCGGCAGATTAGAGAGCGGAGTGTTTGATACAAAGAATAACACAATTCTCGAGACGGGGATAAGGTCAAAGTTCAAGTCGCTTGAAGGAGTGTGGCGGTGGGATAACTGGCGAAATTCAAATCGAGGAACGGGGATTCGCAACCTGCAGCTCAAAAGGGCACCCCTAGGTCCCTGTTTCGGAGCTACAACACAAAGCCGACAGACAGGCGTGGTGGAATAGTATCCGTTGTATGAAGGACCGGTGGAGATGAGGCTCTCTTCTAGATGTTTAAAAATGTAAACTGAGGTTGACAAAGAAGTCCGGTGAGCATTGGGCGGTTGAAGGGGGGGGG